GTATAAATAAAATGACATGGTTATTTAAATTAACTAGAAGAACAGATGCTGTTTAGCCAAAGAATTAGGTAGAATTCAGGTTTAACATTATCTTTTAATTCTACCTTGTTTTTTTTATGACTGGAAGTTATATTGTATTAATGTATTTGAGTGAGCCAGGCACTTTAAAAACTATGCAGAACCAATGGGAGGAGCCAAATATGAGGGTGCTGGTAAGGAGTCCTTCGAAACATAAGGACTTGGTGCTCAAGACCTGGGATAGCGTACCAAAATACCAAGGTAAACAGGCAGGATTCTCAGCAGCAATAAGAAAAATAGTTGCAATGACCTTACAGCAACTCTGTAAGAGCATTGCTAATATCCGATTACTACTGTGATTGTAAAATGAAAGCAAAAACACTACTTTCTCTAAGATGGCTTGAAAGGCCACTCGTGTGTGGTTTGATGAATAGATGTGAGGTGTAAGTCCAGAGGAACCATTTGGGGCTTGTGTGAATATCATCTGAGGCTGTGATACCAATGGTCGCTCAAAGATTGATGGGAGCCTGTGTCATTTCCAGCGTAGGCTTTGTGTTTTTTTTTTTCAGCTGCAAAACAAAGGCCAATAAATCAGCTCAGAGAATGTGACCAACGGTTAAACATTTGAAAGCATAATATGCCTTCTGTGTGGATCAATCAGAAAGACGTGACATTCCACGGTTATGGCAATATATAGTCTTACATCTTATCTTAAAGGTAAATGATATCCCAGGCATTCGGAAAAAGGGTATGGAAACTTGGAAACAACTGGGCTGTGTGCAGTTACACAAATAAAGGTCCACATTCTATTACCTTCCACCAAACTCAAAGTGTTGGGATCTGGAGATCTGCCACCTGTCTCCAGCAGAGAGCAATATGGGTCTCCTGAGCTGGAGCCTCCCGCACACCTGAGGATCATCAGCCCATCAGGAGACCTCCTACTTAAGCAGCGACCAGACCTGTCTTCAGCGCCGGAGTGTTGACCAGTTTTGGTTAGCGGAACCTGAGCCTCAACCTGAACTTGAATCTCTGTCTGCTCTAGAGAGCAACCTGATCCTAATCAGTCTCTGTCCTCTCTGCTCACAGGAAACCCGACTGAACTCAGTAGCTCTGGAGGAGCTCATGTTTGGAAACCTGCCTGCCTGCCCAAGGAACCCAAACCTGAAGATCCTCTGCCTGAATCTTCCTGCTAGTTCTCAGGAGAGAACTAGAAGAACAACTCAAGGTCTGAATCTCGCTAGCCTGAAGCTAAGCTCTGTCGCTGCTGAACTCTCTGCTGGAACCACAGTCTCTGGACCCAACCGGTTCCCTCTCTCCACTGAACAGTCTGAACCTCATCAGGTACAAACCAAGATCCAAAACTCTGCCAAGCTATCGCTGCCACCTGGCTAACCAAACTATCCCTCTCTGCAGATACTCTGTGAAACCGAGTTCCCGGACCAGTACCAGAACCAGTGCTTTGTTTACTCTGTGTAGCATCTCTTTAATAAACTGTTAAACTTTTACCCTGCTTCGTGTGGTGTTCTGCATGTGGGTTTAATCACAGAGACCCATCATGACACAAAGTGAGTTTAGTGAGCAATTTTTGGAGACAGTGTCGTAGATGAATGGCTAGTCATCAGTCAGTCTTCAATTTTAAATTACTATATATGTCATAGACATATACTGTACTCCTTTTAGATAGGCGTACATATTAAAATAATTATATTAGTACATTAATATTAGATTTGCAGTAGTTGTAAGACATACTCATCAAACTAGCAGAAAGAAATGTGTATAATTCATTACCATTTTCCTCAAAGATAGAAGTTAACAAGATAAACCTGTTATTAAAAGTTTAAGTTTTATTTAAAAAAAGAGCAGTTTTAAGGTTCAGATTAGATTTTAAGGTGGGATTATCACCTGGAAACAAGACCCAGTTTTGTTCTAAGCGGCTCTGCATAATACATTTTGCTTTATTTCAAACTGATTTAGAGGCCAGAATTGAAAATGAGCGCATAACCAAAAATGAAACTGTTCTGCGTTTGATTAAATTTTCCCCCATCTTACAAAGTACTGAGTTAATAGTGATAAGTCAGCCTATCAAATAAACCTTGTAAGCGCTTCATGAAAAATGTATTCAAAAGAGCAGGAAACTGGCACACACATCTGAACATACACATTACACCTCTCTCATGAGCGTGAAATTTGCATGTTAGCTCCTGAGATCTGACTATGCACCTAGCAACATCACAGAGAAATCTAGTATGGCCTAATTGTGTCAATTCTATTTTAACCCAACCTCTTTTTTTCTATGATGACTTCACTGTTTTATGGCTTTCCTTTTGATTGCACCAATCCTGCACCTCCTCCGATGAAAGTTGGCACCTCATCACTAATATTGCCTCGTCTCTCAGCCTGTGTTCCCCCGCACTTATGCTTTCAGAGAGTTCCTGGCCTCTAATTTATTTGTTCCTTCCCAATCAACCATTTTAGTCCATCAGCATGAAACAGCATGAAACAAATACACTTAAAGATAATTGTGGTAAGAATTTTGCACGAATGAAATTATTCACAAATACACTTAAAGATAATTGTGGTAAGAATTTTGCAGGAATGAAATTGTTCAGGATATGTCAAATGAATACCCAAAAGGAGAGGTCAGGCTTAAGATCAGCTGGGAGTCGGGGAAGAACGAGAGGACACAGGAGTTAAGAAATGCCATGAAAATGTCAATGTTATAGCAAGCTGGCTACAAAGGCTCCCTTGATAATAAAAAAAATAGCAATTTAGGTTGGAGCTCTGTCTAACAGAAAATATAAAAAGACAAAAATGCCTGGGTCTTAACAGGGTTTCTTATTTTTAATGGAATATAAATATACCAAGTGGATAAAAAAAAAAAAATCCAGGATTCCACAGAAAGCAGATCCGCATTTCATACTTTCAGTTTTAAGAGTACAGGTTTGAATGCAGTTTTAATACATTTTAATAAATACACATCATATTTGCTCACATATACGCTGCCCTGAGTGCCACAAAATATTGTTTAATATATGCACACAAAGGCTCTGGCTCAATATGCAGAATAAATATATGACAGTCTTCAAAGAGGATCTAATTTACCTAATTCCTCAAATCCATCAGAAGTAATTTGGCCCTTCATGTCAATCTGCCCTATATTCTCTAACAAGTCCAGTTTCAGGTCAGTGAGCACAAGATTATAACCACCTCAGCTCTCAACTCCATAAGAGACATTTCTGCTGTTACTTTAACAGTTTTCATGCTTTTGTAAAGCAGACCGTTACTGTTGAACAAATATAGAGAGTATGTAAATTTTTAATAATTACTTTGCTAAAAATTACTTTTTCTGAGCATTTGCCATTACTGTGAGGGTTTTTTCTTTTACTATACAATTTACTTTTGTTCCTATTGTGTCTTTTTTTCCACATTTGAGTCTGATGCAGAGCTTAATTGGCCACTTCATTATTATGACAATGCCTATTTATAACTATGTGCTTGTGTTCCACTCTGCTGTATTCTATTCTATTTGCTTAGTTTTTATGTTTTTACTTTTTGTGTTTCGTGAGCTGTAGTTCTCTACTGTAGTTGTCATGATCCTGGTGTATCTGCTCTTGTTTCAGTCTCTGGACTTCAATGGCTGAAAGAGCATTCCTTGAGCTTTCGCCTAAGCACCAAACCTCTCTCAACCTAATCCCAATAATTAATTTATCCTGGAGGTGGATGATTCTGACACAGCAGTATGGGCTGTTCTGTCCCAGAACTCTGAGAGGGATGGTAAGCTACACCCCTGTGTGTTCTTCTCTCATTGTTTAAATGAATGAAAGAGGATTTTTCACAGAAATTAAGTGTTCAGATTCATCTAAAATTACTTAATTGATGGCTAGCATTCTTGCACATACTGTATGCTTACCCCCCCCCCAAAAAAAATAAAAAAATAAAAATAAAATCCATAAACTCTGGCTATGGTTGGGCCTACAAACAGTAAAAAATGATTGGCTACATGTTTGCCAATCAAACATGTTGCGCACATTATTTACGTAGGTTCCAATGGTAACTCATATGCTGTTTTGCTAGCGGTCCACCATCATGCTGGAGAATGAAGAAGTACTGTAAATAGAATTATAAAAATATCTAAACACTGTGGCTACAAGGCATGCAATATAATAGACCTATATATACAGAAAGATAAAAATGTAGAATGATAATCCCTATGGTCTAATGTAATAAAAAAGTGATTTAAAAAAAATAGAAAAATATTCAGCCGCAGCTGGGACCAAATCCTCAACCTTCAGAACTGCAGACCACTCACTCTACCCTCTACGCTAACTGCTCACAACACGTAACTCCCCTCCCAGTTTGCCAATTGATCTATCTAATTCTGACTCATGGGACGCCGAAATGGACTCAGACTGCCACCTAGTGGCTATAGTAGTCACATGTTTTTCACGCAATTTGTGAAACACGGGAAGCGTGATTGAAGTGTTCATTTCCAACCAGCGCCCACTGTACTTCTACGCTGTTTTGCTGCTGCAGCTTTTTTTTATATTTGTTTACTCTTTAAATCTCAAAGTAAGTTGCAGCTGCAGCAGCGGCAACACACTAGCAAATTGCAAATATAACTTGCAGTGATAACGCCGGCATAGAACTCCTCTTCTTATAGAGATTTCCTTCTGACTAGGTGCATCCTGGCACTTTGCTGCCTCTCAAGGTGAAATACAAAATTACCGGCAGAGTCGTTTCAAGCATAGAGAACTTTTGCGAAGGAGGGGGGACTGATGCATATGCATGGTTCAAAAATACACGAACAGCCGTTGAACATATCTTTCACCACAGAGTCCTCTTTCCTGCCTTTAAGTCCCCTTGATAGAAACTACAGTGTGCGATACCATGAATATTTGGCCATTAAACTGGCACCAAACAAAGGTACCCACAAACAAGCAGAAACCAAAGAACAGATAGATATCCTTTAAAACATTTCCTACCTGGAGAAGTTGGATCCTCACCATCTGCTCCTGTGTAGAGGAAAGGGGGAAGAAGGAGATAATGGAAAAAACAAAACAAAATTAGCTTTAACACAACTTTCTCTTAATGTTAAAGACTGCATTTGAGTCCAACACCAACAATTTGGCTACACTATTACCTGTATAATGGGCTACATGCACATTTGACATGGAATCCTCTGAAGAATAACATATGGTAAAAAAAAAACAGGCAAAGCTGCCATCTGTAGGCCACCATATGACCAAAGCAGCACATTACCCCGTTTGGCAGACACACTTGTCTACTTCAACCTGAGCTTTGAGGCTCTAGTCCAGCTTTCACAGCTGAGATTTGGCCTGTCTACTATCATTAACAAAATCCTCAATCTCCATCATAACCCGTGAAATTGCTCCAAAAACTGTGCCTGGAAGCTGATACAGAGAAAATAAGCGAAGGGCATTAGATGCTGGGGATAACAAAAAAAGCTGGAGTTACTATAGTGGATGATAAGAAATGTAAACCAATGCATGGATGGATGAACCAACAAAGACAATCTTAAGGCACAGGATTTGCTGCCCTGTAAAACAAAATATGTATGAATGTGATTTTATGAAACATAGACAATAACATAGCTTACTGTTTGCTTCATTAAACTGAATACTGAACAGATATTTGCATACAGAAGGTTTAAGCTACACAGGTCATAAAGCTGACCAGTAGACAGTTGGAGCGCTTTTATTATGGTGATAAATATGTACAAATATATACCCGTATTTCTATGGTTTCCAGTCATAAAACAAAGCAGAATAGAATAATGGATTCCTTTTTATGAACCAATACCTGTTTCTTTTAAAATGGATTTTCGTTTCCTTACCCCACATTGATTCAAATTATTAAACAAAAAATGTATGTAAATGAAATCGCATTACCTATCTTATTTCAAACATAGCAGAACATCTGTACTAACATTTTTTTTTATATTTCTATCGTGACCCTTAGTACTAAAATGTAATCTGTTTGTTTAAATCAAACTTGTTCATGTAATTTGACAAAAAGGATTCTAGTGTATTGAAGAGACAAAAATTTAATTCAAAACCACAGCTTTTCACACTCCATTGAGTGAGAGGAGGCTTTGACCAAAGTCACATAAAGCCACAGCACTTTGTCAGCCCCTCATCTGTCTGACAGCACAAGCTCCCCTCTCTGTTTCCTCATGCATATAGTCCAGTGTAATCCCCAAACAAGCACATTCCATTTTTTTGCTTTGTGTGTTGTTGATTTTTTTGTCTTCAATTTTTTTCTCCCTCCCTTACTTTCCATAGAGGTCAAGGCGGAAACTTGAAAGTCCTTAGACACATTTTGTATACACACATAATTGCACACTAGCAAATGGAAAACAAGTAATAATAAAGAGAGGGGAGAAAAAAAACATGTGCCTCGGAGCACAGACAACGCTTCACACCCACACATAAATACACATGCAGAGAAGATAAAGAAGCAGAACATGAAGGTGTTTTTTTCTCGCTCTCCAAGTGTTGATGTTGTGAATCACAAAACAGCGAAAAATACTGGGCACATAAAACACTTGGCTGGTGTTCTACATAGATGAGTGAAACCATTCAACATATGCTACATCTTAAGGTTTATCTCCTGTGGATAAAAACATTGGTTTATCTAATACTGTCAGACAAATCTGTGTCTTAATATTATAAAGAAACAAATTATAGGCAAAGCAGGGACTATAAAGTAGAATATAATCACAGCTAAATGAATGTCTACTTCCAGAAACATTCAGTAGACTCCAGAATTAAAATAAGGCTATGTATCAGAATCAAGGAGCACATTGAAGTTAAGCCCCTGTAGTAGTTAAACCTAGTTTCAAACCAATAAATCATTGAGGATGGAGGGTGGAGCTTGCAACATTTTTCACACTACAAACACCAAATGTCTTCAGAGGCAAAGGGAACAGAAATTCATATGATCAAAATGATAAGAAAAAATGTCAACATTTAGAGAAATGTCAAGACCTGCAATAACCACTGCTGTCAAGGTATTGATACAGATCTTCAAAGTTATTTCAAGAAAAAGTGTGTTAAAAAGAAAGTCCCACAGCTGATTAAAATGTGACAGTTAAAGGCTTTACTGTGTTACATACAATAACAGGTAGAAACGACTGAGTTCCATCAGAGAATCAGATGTTATGCTCACTTGCCAACCCAAATGTGCAACAACATTCAGGAAAAAATGGAGAGGAAAAAATCACATCTCAGTTGCCTGTGATTAGTTCTAATCACTAATTTCCCCCTTTAGGGTACATATTTCAGTCTTTTAAAAACATTTCAAAACCTTTAAAGTCTTTGTCAAGTTTAAACTAGGGAGCATCCTAATTTTCTCTAAACACAAGAGTTCAGTTGCAGTAAAATGGAAATTAAATGTTTCTAACCATTATCTAAAGTGGAGGTCTTCAACAGGGGGTCCGCGACCCCTAGGGGATCCGCAGAGGTACTGCATGGGGGTCGTGAAAGTTATGGTTGATTAGACTTTTTTGATATTCCCCACTGCTATTTTTTTTTCCCACTAATTGAAATATTGAAATGTCTTTAAATACACTTTAACATGAATTCAACACACTGAAGTAAACAGATAAATGGAGGCAGAAGATGTCTTTCAGTCATCAACGCACACATTCAGCGACACACAGGAGCTCTTTCAAGCTGGGGACTGTTTCATTCACAACACCTGTCCCATCAACCAGGAATCAGATATACTTTAATAATCCCAGGGAGAAATTACTTTAATTACATTACTCCATCTGTAATAGAGTGACTATAGGACCAGTTTGATATAACACAATTTCATACAATATATATAATTAGGGGGTCCCTGCTCCATCTTGTCATCATTTTGGGGGTCCATGGCCTGGAAAACATTGAAGACCCCTAATCTAAAGTGCACTAATCTGAGGTATGACAAAACAATCATGCATAAAAGTCTGAGTAATACAGAAAGCTCTTGGTTGTTCAGAAAGGCCAGAGTTATCAGGTGATCAATCAAAGATGAAACTTTTAAGGTCTGATAAAAATGGGCATTTAGTCTCTGGGTACGATGTTTCTAACTGAGTCTGCAAGGGATCGTCAAAAAGAGGCAATATTATTATCCCTCTGATTTCATAAATAGCTTTTTGATCCCAAAGGGAATTTAGATTTAGTAACTTATGTTTTTCTTCAATGAGTTGTTGTAAATGTTGATTCATGTAGGATGGAAGGATCTTGCACCAGATTTGACAAGCGACACCATGTTGGTGATTAACATTGTTCTGAAGAGGATGCCTACTAATCAATGAGAAATGTTATGTATCTTTTAAAACAATACAGCCTTTACTATCTGGTTTCAACTGTAGGCATAATGCATGTTTATGTCTTAATGTCTTTTTTTTCAGCTGTTGACCTCATTTATTGTAAGAAGAAAAGAAATGAATCAAAATAGCAAAGTCCATTGCATTAACATTAGTTTATAATTACACCATGATTACATTCAAAGAAATTGGTTTAGCATTTTTAAGAGACTGTGAGTAAGATTGAAAAATGTAGACATTTATTAAACACAAGATGACATTAATGTTTTAATATCAGGAGGATTTTAAGAAGGGTTAATTATGGTTGACCTAATTGTAAATGTAGTCAAAATCAAAATAAGATATTTGACAAATTAAAACCTTTTACAAAAGTAGCACATAAATGTATGGTATTACCTCTTATACCATGAATCGATAGAAAGACCTAGACTTAAGACTCACTTTTATTTATCCCCTGGGATTTCTCCCTCAGGGAAATTCTGGTTCTGGTAGCTTATATAGAGTACAAAGCGTTAAAGCAAAATTCAATTAAAGATAAAAATACAACAGACAATATAAACAGAGTGTATATAGTACCAAACAAGCATAAAAGAAAAAGGTTGTAATTTTCTGTGATGTTTTCCTTAGATATAAAAATATCTGCACAGTAGAGTGCTAAGGGAAAACTACTAGTAGTGGAGGTTATTGCACTTGCACTTCAGAAATGTACTGACCATATAAATAAGTGAAACTTAAGTAGAGTTCTAATATTACATCTATTTTTTTCTGGTTATTGTTATGATTGATTATTATTTTCAGTCGAGTCACTTGGCAATAGTCACACTGATCTGCTGGTGTTGTTTATGTAACATCTTTATTAGTCCTGTTATGGTTTTGATGTCTGTACATTTGACTGGAGTAAAAGGTCAACACAATCATAGCAACAGATTGGACTTTGATAGCGGAAATCTCCACAGTTAAGAGTCCCTCATCAGTTATATGTTATTCTCAGACTGTAGAAAGGTGGCAGAGGGACTGCATAGGGAGCTTAATGTCACTTATTTAACAACACAAAGTTTTTGACATTCAGTAGGTGTTAGTGCATTAGCCATTCCCTTACTACATTTACATAATACATTTACATAATGTATATTGAAACTTCTTGCAAATGGTCCATGACAGCAGCTTGCAGTGTGGGGTTTTACAGTGATAAATCTTTATGTGTTTTTTGCAGCAGTAAACTTATTTTCACTAATTTTGCTCTCTCTGATGAATAAAGGGTTTACAAGTGATTGCCCAACAAATTTAACGTGACAAAATTACAGCAACATTTAGCATCAAGGTTTACAGAAATGTGTCCCTCCAGATAAAGTTAAAACCATGATGGCTTCAAAACACAGTTTGGATTTCCATGTAGCATTAGAACTCATTAAAGCTACTATGACTGATGAAAGATTGCTACTCTAAGATTTCTTACTGACATAGTGAACTGGTAAATCACATGGCAACAACTCAATGCATTTCTGCATCTGGATATGGAAAAGCTAACCTCTTGATGTTTTAAAAGAACATAAAACAGGAAAAATGGATTTTGTTTTTCTCTATGTGTAACCATCTTACAATTTTACAGAGAAATGTCAAAACATAGAAATATCTAGTGAGAATCAGATACCTGTGCAAAATACTATGGTCATCGTA